CTAAAATCGTGTACTTTTACGCCCAGACGTGACTTAAGCAGCGATACAATCGCGACGCCAACGCGGTACAATAGCGGTGCAAATGCGATCCACGTTTTTAATGATTCAACGTATGTAACGGCATCAACGCAGTCGTGCGATTGCATCGATGCAACCGCCTATAAACCACGCACCATACAATGATGGTCATTTTCTAACTAGCTTTCTAGATATTTTTTGATATCTTTAATAAAATAATAATAGAACAACAAATATATGAAACGGGTCTATAGTTAAACTAAAAAGGACTATGGGAGTACATATTCGGTAATAGTTAAGACTGCACTAAATATTAATAAGCAATGATACACAGACGCACATATCTAAGCAAAAAACTATAATTTAATTACAATTAACGTCCTAAATAAAACCATAGTATTGGAAGTCCATATACAACATTTTGTAATTTCATTACACATAACATTTATCGGCTGTTATGAAGGTAAAACAAATTAATCAGTTTTAATTATAATAACTGTTACATATAATTGTAATAGCTGCATACTAATGTACAAAGTAAATTCAATGTATCTTTTATGCTATTAACCCGAAAAATTCCAACGAACCGTAAAATCCTTTTTCTCAAAGTGCTGTACTTGCTATTAATGTATTGTTTTGACAGGGTATAATCTCAGTACAGAGTACTAAAAAAACCGACCTCAAAAGTACGTGGAATTACATCTATTTGCTAAGTTTCATTGAAATATACCCTAGTTCGCCACTATACAGGACTTGATACTGGAGATAATAAAAATAGGTTCTCACTACGACACTACTCAAAGTATATCGAGAGAAAAACGCCTTGAATTGGAGAAATAGCAAAATCAACTAAATAATTGCTGAAAGTAATTGCTCCTAAATTAAAGTCAGGCGCCATTTATAAAAATGAATCTTCATGCGTGAACAGCCACCCTTTCAGGTGGATGATTTTCTTCAAAATGAAATGGGACCACTATGGAAATACCCCCTTTCCAACAAAAAAAGAATCATGAGAATCGGTTCACAAATACCGGTGTTGTCGCGTAACATACATACAAAAAAAAGAACATACAGACGAATTGAGAACCTCCTCCTTTTTTGAAGTCGGTTAAATATATAGTTTTTATGAGAAATCATGAACTGATGTCCGAGACGATAAGGTTTATGGCGGGAGGATAACAATTATCTCCTGATAATTATTGTTTTTATTTTCATTTCAATCCCTTATATTGTACATACAAGAAGTGTGATAGCCACGGCTCGCAGCCGACTCCACTTATACTATATGTATATATAACGCCTTCATCATACTCCTAAAATTTTGTCTATGTCATTAAAATGGATACTGGCCTAACTGTCCCCCAATAAGTTCCTGGGGTAGATAAAGTACGTGTACAATATAGTAAATGTACTTTGTTGTAGCTTATTATGTCTTTCTTTTGGACGGCATTACATAATTTATGCCCAGTGCAGCACTAGTGTAGACCTGTCATGGGAGTTATTGACTAATTAAATTAAAAAAATATAAACTGTCATAACATATTGTTAAGTAAACTCAAGTGTTGTAAAATAAATAAAAATGTGTAAATAAAGTAACACCTACTGTATACTTTAATAAGTTGAAGTTAACACTTTTATTGATGTTATTTAATACTGAGATAACAAAATTGTTATGTAACAATAGATTTTGTACGTAAAAAACTTGCACACCGTGTTTGACGCGACTGTGGCTTACTGCCATCTTGCAGTCAGCGCCGCGGGAGGCGAGGAGGTGGTGGTGGTGACGGTGGCCTGTGCCGATAGACGCTAGACGCGGCCAAATTTGTCGCGCTTCGAGTGCGAGTTATTACGGCGTTATAATACTGAATAAAGTCAATATTATTACTTCTTAAATATTTTTGTCTATGTACTTTGAAAATGTTTATTTTATATAAAAAATGTGTAAGAAAATATAACCTGATAAAAAACAACAATTAAAAAGATTCAAGAACAACAATGAAAGTATGCAAATATATAAGGCTCAAACAAATCTGCTTCCCGGGATTGCTTCTCAAATAACAATTGTGAATATTTTCCTATGAATATCGGCAATAATTGAGACACTGCCTCTGTTACAGAATGAGGCAGGTCATTACTTATTCTGGATGAGGCGTATTTTACGCAACCCCGGGCGAAAGCCAATAACATGATCGGCTTCTTAACCAAAGAACCCCTAACTCGCAGTTTCTCAACATACGTTTACGTCACAAGCTTTATTGTAAAGGTAAATTAGCACATATTTTCGAAAAATATATTGTAAAAACAGGTGTACTATTTTTGGCAATGAGAGCTAGCAACATTGCATAACAAACGCGGACACATACTTTCTGCTTTTGTTAAATCGACGTCAATGTGTTTTACAGTTAACCTCCTTGAGTAATATGGAATAGCATAAGAGGAACAGAATTAAAGAATTGCACAATAGAGACCTATTATAGAGAAGGCAAATATCTTTAGACCCCACAGCCTAGTCTTCTTTTGTATTTTTAAATTAATTATGGAAACCATAGTAACTGTTTTATTCATATTATACACGTAGTCAGAACAACTGTCACTAATTAATCTATGATATTATGATTTGTTTCGTTTTAACACGCGTCATTACATGCTTGGGGAAACGAGATCGACAGTGTGAAATTTTGCTTAGCATTCGCGTCGCGATTCACATCGCGATTTTCAATTATAATCATACATACAAATTAATCAAAAACCACAAAATTACTTACTTAATCAATGTGAATTGTGTGTTAATGTGTAAAGGGCTCGAAATGTTTTGTTTGAAAAATAAATATACGCGATGTAGATCCGGAAAAAAATTGTTTCTTTTTTACTTTTTTATGTTTAAAATTAGTCCAATTATTGTAAAGTAAGAATTAGTGTTCAAAGGACACGGTTTGTCATACATAAGGCGATTCTGTTTTTTTATTTGTCTTGTTATTTGTTGTTTTAATACAATATATGACTTACCGTATACAATACGTCCCGGTACGAGGCATGTGTTAAGTAGTAAAGTAAGCTTTTCTAAGAGCCTAAGCAACTGAAATATTGTACCGGTATGTCCGCTCGAAGCTACGAATTAGATATGCCTTTCCAGCTACTGTATAACTTTAAGCCATTAATAAACCTACAGATATTTAGTACATCCGCTAGGAGATGAATTATTTACGGCTTTTCGCAAAAAAATGCTCAGGATAAAGCGTCTCTGATTTGTCACGTCGAATACGTATCACCATTATAAAACCGTATTTAATAGGCACACCCATTACTAAAAACTTATTTATATTTATAAATCACACATATCAATAGGTATTTTGTAAACTTTATAATAATTGCCTAGGTAAGTATCATCTTGTACTTATGTAGATTACCTACTTACCTATTTGAATTCCAATTAAGGGAACAGGCCATGGGCAGAGCAAGCCTTATTCATAAGCATTGAAAAAAATGTCGTTTCCTTATGCCATCATTGGTCGCCTAGCAACGCTTTGTTATTAAACATTCTACATAGAATTTGACTAGAGTATAGCTGTGTCATATCACAACTGTGTGACCGCTACTATGGCGCGACGGGATGTCTGCCAAATCCGGTATTTTAGGAAAATTTTGAGACTACAACTTATAGGAAACAAATAGGTATGTATATTGTTATTATTAACAAAAAAAAACAAAAGATATATTCTTATAACGCAATCTCCCTGAAAATAGAAGGCTTCTTTTTTCACAATGTCGTCACTTATACGAGTTCCCAAGACGAGTTACAAATACAATATAAAATAAATACACACAAATATATGTATAACAAATGTAACATTAATAATTTTGCTCCAATATAATTATAGAGCTTACTTTTCTATATCCCGAATTTTATTTATTGGGATTTTTTGCCCTTTTTTATTATCTTGGCGACATCGGTTATCCAATGATTTGTTCTGGGAACATTACTCATAACATTTGTTTTTGAAGGACTTACATTATACTTAGATAAAGTTAGCTCTCCAATGGTACTCAAATAAAGAATAAGTTAGATTGAAACGGATGATTGGTATAGTTATCTGGCAAATCATTTACTGAAATCGCATTGCCTATATATTAGGAAAGGGTAATGTACTTAATTGACTCTCACTCAAGATTTAAAAAAGTTATAACTTAATGCCTATGTATATTATATATAATATCTATGTCATGTTTTAATGAGTTCGAAAAGATTGTTTGTTTAGTAATGTGAACTAATATACAAAATTCGATACAATTAATGCAATCGTTAAAATATATCAAAAATAAGTTATACCCTATTTGAATTTTCGCTACTTAGAAATAAAAAGTTTTTGAATAGCGAAACGAAAACAAGTCATACATACGAAACGAAACGAAAACAAGTCCTAATCAACATTATTTATCACGCAATGTCCAGTGTAGACAAAACATTGTAAAACCGTGCAAACTTTGTATCTAACGAATCCGACTCTAGCTAGAAACATTTGCTCCTGTGCAAGTGCTTGTCTGAAATAATTCTCACAAACAATGAAATTGTTACTAATTTATTTTCCAACCGCAACAAAGCGAGATGTCACGTGAAAAATGCGCCAGTGCCGCTCAGATGAGACTCCGTGCATTCCTCGGGTGGAGCTCCCATTTTACGTGTCGTTCCCTCAGTTTTACATTTGCTACAACGTTTAAGTCACATTAAGTTTCGTCTCCGCGGCGAACAATACAAAGGATTTAAAACTTGGAAGCGGCGGGGAAAGCGAACGATTTATGACATTAATCTGGGATATAAAACGCAATTTTACGCTCGTATGCAGTCTGCGAGAAGAATTTTGTAGACACTCATCCTAATTGCCAATCCATTTTCCACTTTCCGTAATGCGTGTATTTTTGAAAAACAGTTTTTGTAAAGACAGGTAGCGGGACTTAATTTGATTCTTTTTGTTTTTTGGTTGTAGGTAGCTTGGATCAAGTCAGACTCAAAAGCCATATTGGCGATTCACACGAATATGGTGGCTTTGAATCCTCGGCTCTCGGTCACGTACAACAACCACAATACTTGGAAGCTGCACGTTAGCAACGTTCAGGCGAACGACTCCGGCACTTACATGTGCCAAGTCAACACAGACCCTATGAAAAGTCAGGTGAGTTACTCAATATTGAATATTTTATCCCTATTATGTAGGAGGTTTTTTGGATACTGCCCTTTACGTAGCAGTGTAATTGCAGGCAAGAAGGTGTTACCGCTAAAGCTATTGCCATTGTATAGATACTGTTAAAAATTCTCTAATTACAGCCAATTAAAAAACAATCATATACCTATATTGTATGGTCTCTAACATGAATATTTTTTACCCACAGATGGGTCATCTATCAGTGGTGATTCCTCCCGACATTGTGGATACGGTTTCCGAGGGGAGTTCGGCTCGGGAGGGAGGTAGCGTCCGGCTAACGTGCAGCGCCACCGGCGTTCCGCCGCCGACTGTCATGTGGCGTCGGGAACTCAATAGGCCTATCGTGTTTAGGCACGACGGTGGAAAGGAAAAGAAAGGTAGGTGTTAGCACAAAGTTAGACATAAAATTAGTCCGTTTTCATTTCTATGACTCTCAGCGACTGTCTGCAACATTTTTACATAATTTTTGCACGTAACGGATATGATGGAGTAGTATAAGTGAGAATAAAATGTTTTTAAATATTTTCTCTACGCTCGGGGAGACTTATCAGAGTTTGTTTCGGTCCACCCAATCAGCACTCGATTTCACCTGTTCAAAGGACAAACGAACGTGAAAAGTCTCACGATCAATTAGTTAATTAATCGTTACTTGTTGACATTTCATGGGATATTTACTAGCTACTTATTTACACAGTACTTTAACGTGTTTTATTCTGTAGCATATAATTTAATTTTAACCAAAAAGACCTTATTAGTTTTTTTGGTTCTTGACTTGTTTATTGTAGGAATGAAACTATTTTTCCGGATTTAAATCGCGTATATTTGTTTTTTCAAACAAACCGACGTTTCGGGCCCTTTACAGGTCCCATGTAAAGGTTTGAAAAAACAAATATACGCGATTTAAATCCGGAAAAATAGTTTCATTCCTATGTATAACAATCGCGAAAACCTAAGAATTTGTTTATTGTACATTATAACTGCTACATATCAAAATTCATAATTACAAAGTTTAGATTGTGGTCAGTAAAACAGTTTGGTTTATTATTGTGTCGAGCATTTTCTCTCACCACAATGCAGTCAGGAAGTGCTAATAATGCAGGAGTTAACTAGAAAATATGGTAATGATCCCACATGACTGCATTCTCGGAAACTTAAAATGTTTCCCGCCGTAACGTTGATAAGCGCTTATTAAAATATGAAAGTTGCACCTCCCGTGGATAGGAGGCTGTTATTATTCACTTTATATTAGCTTTCCAAAGACGTTGTGTAAATATATATATTTTGTTGAGTAAGATTTTCTAAATCCATTTTTATATATTTTTGATACGTACGTTAAACGTTAAAGTGGAGAATTTTGTACTTTTTTAAAATGAGTAACGTGTTTTTTCTCAGCTTTCCTTTTCATTCCACATGTCTTAGAAATTTCTTATTCTTATAAAAATAATAAAAGTAATAATAAAATGTTTCTTCATCAAATATAACTAGGTTTTAAAACAAGCATCAGCCATTGACTTCCAAATATGTCAGATGCTTTTCAATAATAACGCAAGAGTGGTAGGTACATTGAGTCTTAACAAATGTAAACTATAACAATAACAAAAGAAGGAAATGAACATTAATAGATAGGTATATTATTGATTTACAGGTGAAGTGATTTCTGATTTGATTGTGTATATGTTTGCGTTTGTATTATCACATATATGAGATGGTTCATACTCACATATTATAAAATGGAAAATTATGAAAACTAACGCGGTTATCACACATGATAGTATAAAAGTAACGGGACTTACTCGCGTAGTATTTTAGTCGGAAGCGGTCCAACCAACAAGAGTTTCAACCATAATCGATCGTTATGATTCATTATTATTTGTTATGATTCAATATAATACTTATGTGTCTAACGGTATTTTTTTATTTTATTTATGTAGTTTATTATATTTCTTTCTCATTCTCTCTTGCACGCTGTTGTCCGCTTATAACATTAGATCTCACTGCCCTGAATTGGCTGGAAGAGATTTCTTTGCGAGATAAGTCCACCTTTGCTCACCTTCTGTTAAACAAATTTTCTGTTGTATTTATTTGGTACAACAAAGAATATTAGATATGTTCCCTAAACGGAATTTGGACCTTTTCAAGGCGAGAGTGAAAAAGCATTATTTAGGTGTGCATGCCTCATCGTCGACCTCATCATCACTTTCCATCAGGTGAGATGGGGATAAAATGTACACTTATTTTTTAATAACTTTTTTAATGTGAAAAGTGGAAGTGCGTATATTTTAGTGAGTGCCCGCGACTTCGTCTGCGAAGAATAAGTACTTCGAGTAGCTTTCTGTTCCGAATATACTAAAAAATCCCCTATTTTACCTTGAGGGGTAATTGGTCAAAAACGCTGAAACATTGTTAATTTCTTAAAAAAGGCATAAATATTAATTTTCAAATCATAAATATGATTTGTTCTCGTACAAACTTCCCCTATTTCACCCGTTTTAAGACTTATTTTGTGAAAAAATTAGCCAATGTCCTTCTCCTCACATTTCATAAATCTCAGTTCCAAAATTCATCGATATTGGTTCAGCGGTTTAGGCGTGAAAACGTAATAGACATAGTTACTTTCGCATTTATGATATTAGTGATTGTGACAGAACACAGTTTAGTAGCAGTAGAACTCCTAGTGAAAGAGCTCGACCAGAGAAGTACTGCCACCAAGCAGTAATGTGAGAATTACTGTGTTCCGGTTTTGAAGGGTAAGTAAGGGTGCTGGTGGAATTACAGGTACACGGGACTTGTCAACTTATGTCTCAGGGTGTCGGGCGCAGCAGCAGTACCCCTCAGATCTTTGTAACTTAAAGCTCTGAGTGGCACTGCAACTGTTATGGACAGACGTGTCGCTTACCACCAGGCGCACGTTTTGTTCGTCCCGTCACTTTGTATTACAAAAAAAAATCTTTATCGAATAACTCCAAGAATGGACTCAATATTATTGTTATTATAATTTTTTTCAAAGAGAATCCTTGATCGCCATTTTACAAAATTATTTAATATACAATAAATGTACCATAAAATAATTCAAATTAATATAGAATTTATAAATTACATAAAGTTTTGATGTAGCTACGGTTATTTTAACAATGTAGTACCTGCGAGCGTACTTTATATTTAATCCGTTATGAACAATTTAAAGTTTTAATTTTTAAGTTTTTATGGTGGTCAATTATGTTTGTGAAATTACTCAACTAGTTTGCTATGATTATTAATACAAAGATCGAATAATAAGAAAAAGTTCCTTCGATCCAGCTGTATTCTGTTAAAAAAAGTCGTTAAAAATCAAAAACAAAGAACAAGCACAGAAAAATAAGAAAGGTCAGTTGATTTGTTCCGTGCGTCGAAGAAATGCTTAGGTAGTGTTTGATCTTTGTA